CTGAGCCACCCAGGCGTTCCACTAAAGAAAATTTTAATGCCTCTCAGAAACATCTTTTTCTGCAGAAGCTTGAAATGGTTCTTTGTGACAGAAAGCCCCTCCTCCCCGAACTAAGCCTCAGGTGGTCCAGGACTAGAGGGATTTACCTGTCCCTCTCTACAGCCTCCAAAAAGAGATGACAGAAAGCTAGAACTGGTCTTATATTTACAAAAAGAAATGCTATGTAGGGAAAGAGACTTAGCAGATACGCTATCCCACTCATTGGCTATGTAAGTAAGGAGACAAAGGCCCCGAAATGCTGCGTGACTCCTTTAAAGTTGATGACAAGTTGGCACAACTCAAACTGGAACCCAGTTTCCCTGACCCTTATCTGTTCCTATTGTTCTCTATAGCTGGAACAGAACTTCTGTTTTAAAATTGCATTTTTGTTATTTAACATTATGATGAAGTTGACCTTAATCTCATCTCAACTTAATGACTTCATCTTTTACATGACTTCTTGTGGGTAGAATTATACACAATTACTGGTAGTACAGCATAAGTCGCAGAGCTATTGTTAACTTGAAATGATGAGTAAGTGCAGAATGACCTTTGCTGATCAAATATAGAAATGAAGAGGCCCCCCAGATTGTGGAGAGTGAGAAATTGCTCGGTGTATTCAGGCATATCTACGTGTGCGAAGGTCTACAGCTGCCTGTGAGCTTCACGAGCTCTGGAAGTCACTGGGAGTTCGCATCAATGGCTAACTCATGCAGCCTTTGGTCTGACTCGTTGTTCGTTCCTTTCTTTCCGTATTTTTCCTCCAGGACCTGGGTGAGACTAGAATGTCTTTTCTCTGCAGAAGCTATGTCACATAAAACATATTACTAGTTCAAAGGTACGCAGTCTTTATCACTGCGAATGTTGTGTGCTGAAAAATAAACTCATTTAATTAAAATAAGGCCAATCACTACAGTTTAAGATTCCTTCTTGTATGAATCATTCTTATTTTTGCTGTCTTGTGGTCATATATGGGGCCCTTACCCTAGGACAAATTCTCACAGAGGCATGTAACTGATCATAAAGTAAGTAAACTAGGTAAGTGTGAACAAAATAGAATACACATGATGCCACAAATGGGAAAAAAACAAAACAAAACAAAAACCTCACCCATAAATCTCCCAGTATTTATGTGGCCAAGCAGCAACTCTTCACACAGGCCACCAAGTGTGACCATCAGGGGAATGATTATGTAGCACTACACAGTGTGAATCTTTGACCATCATCTTTTGATTTTATTAGTGTTGACGATCCAGTAATTAAATTCAGAAGACAGATTTACTTTGAAAATTAAAAGTTCTGTATTGTGTATGTGTGTGTATGTGTGTGTGTGAATGATGGTGTGGGGAGATGGTATATATGGTGTGTATACTAAAAAATTGCTAGCATTTCACCATATGTCCTTAAAACTCGGTTATTTTGAAAAGCTGAAAAAAAATTCTGGAACCTTCAGATAGCCAAATGATCTTCTTATATTGCATCTGATAAATAACTTGGAGCTATTGTGGGCATAACTATATAAAAATAACTGGCGCTCCTCCTACCTTCCCTTGCCAACACACAAATACCCATAGAAACTCAATATTATCATAGGATGAAAACCAACACATTTTCTCTAAGATTATTTGTATTACTTATATGGCCAACACTTATTTATTTATTTTTTAGTAAATATTCCTAGTTATTTTTAGTGATCAGTGGGCTCATTCTGTTCCCTACAAGAATTCTCTCTTCAGAACTCTGCGATCTCTAATGGAGTCCTCATACATTGGAATAGGGCAGTAACATTTTCCCCCCAAAGTTAGTATATTTGGACTCCACTGTAGAAGGATCAATTACCCAAATGACAAATAAGACTTTTTATAAGGTAATCTCCCTCTACAGAGTTATTGCTAAAGACAGAATTCCGGAGAGGCCTTGAGTACAAGTTATTAACGTGTTTATTTCTGTCTTTTAAAATCAGAATTTTAAAGCTATGAGGATCCTGGTGAACACATTTGGCTTATTATTAAGGACAAAGATGACAAACAGAAAAGCCTACTCTGATTACAGGTTCTTTTCTAGTTTAGTTACTCTGAACACAACAGCATTGCCAAAAATTATGCATGTCTATATTTAATATTAATGATGATGCGTAATTTCTGCAAGAATCGGAATATGATGTAGCTGCTCCACTGGGCTGCTATGTTCAAGACTATGCTTTCAATCAATAATAGTCTTGTTTAAGGGTTTTCAGAATTCTCAAACATTTTAATGATCTTGAAGAAAAACAATATTAAAATGAACTAAAAAATGTTTATCATTTTTTATGCATTCATTTGAGTATCTACTGCTCACTTACTTAGGGGTAAATACTCTTTTAGGCACTGGAGATCAAATACAGATTTAAAAAAAAAGATATGGTCTCTGCCCTCAAGAAGCTTATAGTCTAACAAAATCCGAAGACCAAAGGGCTAGGGAATTAGCTTGCTAGACTGCTTCTAGGTCTATGTTACTGGGAATTGTGTTTTGAATGTGTCAAGCCTTAATTAGAAGAAGTAGCTTAAAAGAAGAGTAATGGGGACTGAATAGAATACGTCTATTTATCACTTTTACAAAGACCTAGCCCTAGAAATATTCTCTGCCATCGTTGACCTGAAGTTGGTCAGAAGAAAGCAAAAGCCAGAGAATAAAAATCTCTTTTTTTCTTATGGCTGTCAGAAAGAAACATATACACTGCTTAGGACACAATTATGAAAGGTTATAATTCCAGTCCTAAGATTCTTCTCTTCAGAAAAGTAAAACAACACACATTAAAGATCTTTGACATGAGAACAACTTTAAGTCCAAAAAGTTTGAGTTTCTCTGATATTTTGTTTACTCTTTGAAAGCTATTATATCAGTCCCAAACAGCCCCAAAAGTAGGGGGAGCAAGGACTTAAGTAGGACGATTACTAAGGTGGAGGGATGTGTGAATACCGTGCACAACATAGTCTTGCTGTGAGCTCTCTGGTGCACTGTAGACTCTAGAACCGTACATATGTCTCTCTTCCCTCCCCCATACCCTGCCCTTTTCACCTCCTACCTGTGGCTATCAGTCATTCTTCTTTTTTTTTTTTATAGTTCTTGTATATTTTTATTTACAGTTTGTTGCAAATGTTGTAAAATATGACAAATATATATTAACTTTTTTCTATTCATCATTCTTTTTTTTGACTGTTTTATTTTTTTATTTTTTTATTATTTATTTTTTAAATTTTTTATTGTTACGCTAATCACCATACATTACATCATTAGTTTTAGATGCAGTGTTCCATGATTCATTGTTCGTGCATAACACCCAGTGCTCCATGCAGAATGTGCCCACTTCAATACCCATCACCAGGCTAACCCATCCTCCCAGCCCCTCCCCTCTAGAATCCTCAGTTTGTTTTTCAGAGTCCATTGTCTCTCATGGTTCATCTCCCCCTCCGATATCCCCCCTTCATTCTTCCTCTCCTGCTATCTTCTTCTTTTTTCTTTTCTTTTTTTCTTCTTTTTTTTTTTTTTCATTCTTAATGCAATTGTTTAGGTATGAGCTACTCTGAAGCTCTATATATTAGTGTTTACAGCTCTTTCTGATTAGAAATTGGCAAAGGGCATGGACGTGGTAGTATGTGTTTGGGTAGACATTGATGATCCTGAAGTAAACAGTAGAATTCTGAGGGGAAATTCAGCAGGTGCATATGCTGAAATCTTGGCGAGAAGCAAATAAACACCAAGACCCCTATTAAGCTTCTAGTGCTTTTTAAAATGAAGAGGGTAATAGTAGCGGTGATGGTGGTATAGCTAAGACAACAGGAAAGAGGAAGGATCAGGCAACGTTTAAAAAAGAAAAAAAAGTGTCATGGAGAACACATGTTTTTTCAAGGGGGAACCAGTTTCCAGTTTCGATTGCAATAAAAATAATTCTCATCCCTCCTAAAGACTGGAATAATTGTATGAAAATATTTATATTTAATATATTTATATTTATAGTAAATCCTGTAATTATATTTCTGGGTTGTAAATGCATCATGCTCCAGAGACTGTTTTTACGGTTTTGATCTTGTCTCCGGGTAAATGTTACCTTTCCTTATTGTTACATAGAGATATCAAGATCTATGTGGAACCTATGTGAATATTACAACCAAGATTCTGGTGACCAAAATGGATGAAATCATGTGAGCAGATTGTGTTACACAATTTATTACTATCTGGGTGTATTTCTCATTACATAAAGAGACGAGAAAACTAGAGAAAACTCTACAAAATAAATTCTTGCCCCAACAAATTATGTTTAGAAAATATTTGCTGTTCCAACTAAAAATATCTTGTTTTGGATGTATGGCTGTTTTGCAAAAAAAATTACATTCAATTGACTGGTTTTAAAATTAAAATATTCATGTGAAACCTTAATGGGAAATGACTATATATTTTAGTTGTCCATTATTTATGAAAGATAATTTATCGTAGAAACCATTCACATCCATCAAAATAGCCTAAGGAAACAGGTGTAGAATAGATTATATTCCGTTTAAAACATTGCTTTGCTTTATTGTTTTTAAATGGGCATATGTGAAACTGCACCCGCTGGGAAAAAAATGAAATCAGAATGAATCATACACCCAAAGGTCGTTGATCTAAAAATATAGGTCCTGTGAAATGGATAAACATATTCTACTTAGTGAAAGTCGTCAAGTGAGAGGCTTTTAGAATCCCTCCAAAGGGTCTGGGCTTCCAAGGTTGTTAATTAATTTATCAATAACAGAAAAGGCAGCCACTGTCCCCCTGGGGTGCAGAGCAGATAAGAAGTGATCCTGCTGAGGAAGGATAGAGATCAAGGGGCTTAGCCTCTCCCAGGAGAGCGACAGAAGCATCTGTGCAAAGAGGCAAGGAAGCCAAGCCTTGGCAAGTGGCAAGGCTTGGCTTCCTGCAGCGGATGTAGACGGAGCAGAGCCTCCAAAAATCCCGTTTGTCATGACGGGCGCGCTCCCCCCCTGGCACAGAACAGAGCACCAAGAGCCGAAAACAGAACCAGCGTTTGTCGTCATCCGGATAGTAAACACAGTTCCTAAAAGGAGTGAGAGATCGTCAGGCATTTTCATGTAGCTGCTTCTACAGTTATTTTGGAGAGGAAGAATGCTGCTGAGGGAAACAGGAATCTACTTGGAGGGAGCGAGAGGACACGGGAATGCGGTAGTTTGTGATTTTTTTTAACTTAAAAAAATAGTTTTAATGGAGCCCCCAACCAGCAGACAACTTTCTTTGATCAAGTATTAGAAGGTATATTAGGTGTATATTTCAGGGTTTCAGATAGCTTGACATAAAAACTGTTGCCCCGCGTCATTGAAAGCTGATGGATGGATCTCTCTTTTAAGCGGTGCTTTCGTGTGAGAACGCTGTTAATGGTAACTGCTTTTGGTGAAGAAATACACATATGGACAGCGATGTAACCAATGGTGGGGGCAGTGAGGCCCGGTCACTCTGGGGTGCAGGCTATTTAGGGACATGTCATTAGAGAATTAAAAACAATAAAGTCAGTAAGAGTCAGGGTGACATTTATCACTATGTGCTGGCAATTAGCAACGTTATCAGTAATGTTCCTATTCTTCCGTGCCAGAAAGAACCCCTCCCTCTACTGACTTCCCCACACCACAGTATGTATATGTGTGTGTATACCCAAAAGCTGCCCACACACTCACATACAAACTCCACACACATGGAGATCTTCCTTTATTGAGAAGTTTATTCACTTGTAAATGGGTAAAATGGCCTTCTGAATTTCAAATATAACCTGGCCTAGGACTCAGGAAGGCCAGGATACTATTATGTCATTGGGTAAGATTTTGAAAAGATAACTTTTTTTCAAAAATACTTTCTTTTTTCATAGTTTCTCCATAGAGTTGATCTCTCAACTCTGTGAGTGGGGCAAATCTCCAGTTAATAAGTGAGAATATTAAAAATTATGGTTGCTAGTTTTCCCAATATCATACAGTTTGTAAACTAGTTAGGAAAGTAAAAATGTAATTCAGGTCTTCTGAATCTAATACTCTGTTACAATTATAATAAAATTTTATTTGAGTAAATTTTCACACACTCAGTAAATTATCTTCAATTAAAATATTATTATCTCTTAATATAGATTGGTGTTTAAAATTTACCTATTTTTTGATTTATGCAGAACTAAGGAGAAACTATTTTAAAATCAATTATTTAAAATTCTAATCAAAGTTTTCTTTGTACAACATGTGAGGTCTATCCAATTGCAGATGCCCCCAAATAATTTGTGATTTGTCTTAGTTATGCAGATGTAAATATAAGCTACTAATAATCAAGTGTATACACACCTGCAACTGTGGTTGTGTGTGTCTACGTTACATTTCTGCTTCCTATGACATGCTTAATTAGACAATAGCACACGGGGCTGAGCTGTTAATTTTTATAAAACTGGTAATAAGTAGAGCTCAAGAAACACGTTTTCGCAGACACTGCCAGAGGATAATTTCTGAACCATCTAATTGGCAAATGCAAAAGTCTAAAATTATTAGTAATATCAAATTTGTCTTTAATACTGAATTATTGGGGGCTAAAAAAATGGGCCTGATTTAATTAATTTTAGAATAAGCAGAGGGATAATTTTGAATGTATTAAAAGAAACATTATCTTACATAATCATTGCAATGAATAGATTCTGTCAGGGTTTGCAGTCAATGGGCAAATGGACAAGAAAACGTAAGCCTGTATATCACTTTGTTCAGTGCTCTGTACAGGGGGCTGTGAAAACACAGCCAGAGGTTATGCACATCCAATCAGGTGTCATGGAAAGTGATCTGAACTGGTAATAAAGGTGCGAATTTAGCTAAAGGAAAGAGGAGGAGTAGAGAAACGTGATGAACCAGAGGGAAACAACATCACGGAAGGTCTAGTTGAGCGTAAGTTTGAGGAAAGTAAGTTGGTTATGGCAAAAGCAGAGATTGATGGACCGATGTGGAGGAGTCAGTCCTAGGTGACACAAAAAGTAGAGAGATTTTGTATGGTAAGAGAAGGAATTTGAATGTATTTTGAATCCATGGGGAAATAATGCAAAGACTGATAGTTCTCAACCAAAATCTCACAGCGTGAGAGAGAGCATGAGCAGGGGGAGGGGCAGAGGGAGAAGGAGACTCCCCGCTGAGCAGGGAGCCCCATGCGGGGCTCGATTCCAAGACCCTGGGATCATGACCTGAGCCAAAGGCAGAACGCTTAACGACTGAGCCAGCCAGGTGCCCCTGCACTGTCATTTTGTATGAAGCAATAAAAATTGGGTGAAGCGATATCACAGGCCCTCAGGCTAGTGATGGGAAATGGGATTTGGAGATGGACAGAAGAGAAAGAGAGAGCGTAAGAGTGAGAAGGAGCGGCCAGAGAGATAGAGGGAAGAATCACCAAAGCTGAAGAAAGAATTTCAGAGCTCAAAATTTCACAAAAAAATTAAGGTAAGGACTGAAAATAATTCATTAGATGATACATCAAGGGTGTCATTGTTGACTTTACAAAGAGGAGTTGCAAAGACATGGTGACAGAAGCCTGAGGGCAATGGACTGAGCAGTGGACGGTTGGGAAAGGGGCCACAAACACAGACAACTGTTCCAACAGCTGCTGGTAAAGCCATGACTACACAGAGATGTTGAGTCAAGAGAGAGATTAAATTTTTTGTTGTGAATTGAGAACGCTTTGTCATCATTGCATTATGAAAGATAAGAACAATTCTAAAGCTATGGAGGGAGAGACGATATATGGTGAACTGAAGTCCCAGAGACATGGAGGAGAAGGGTGGATAAATTTAATTTGAGCAGGAAGTGGTGTTTCTTCCTCTACTGAGAGAGAGGCAGAAGAACTGAAGTTTATGCGCACTATGCAGCAAGACATTCAAGGGAGACCTCCTAGGAAGGCTTCTCTTTCTGTGATAAAGAAATGAATGAAGTGCAAATGAAATGATGATAGGAAATAAAACTATAAGTGACAGAGAAGGCGAGAGGGTAGTAGATTTGGACACTGAAGTCAAAGTTTGGAGAAGACTGCTGAAGGCAATGGAAAATCGCACTGACCAGGACATGAAGGGTTGCTGGGTTGCATCAAGGCCCCAGACGGGGTTGGAGCCCATGACTCTGCAGGGGCACCCATCACTACTCTCATGTGGTTTTCTCCAGCCTTGCAGCATAATTGGAATATACCAGCGGAACACTCAGATGATAGGCTCAATTCAGACTTGAGGCTTGCAGGGTTTTTTAAGTCTGCAATAAACAAGACAGCAAAAAGAAGAAGTGGTGGTGAGTGGGATCCCTGTGAGAATGTCTCGGATGGACGTCCTTCTTAATTTTAGCCAAAAAATTGCTTTAGATTGTGTTACACATAGTGTGGAAGTAATGTGTTGGCACACAGTGTGAAAATTCAGTATCAGAGGGATAAAAATAAAAGCATGCTTTAGTGACTGACTTTTAGTCCAAGAAACTTTATTTAAAATATTAAGGGATTGCCAAAAGAAAAAAAAAAAAAAGAGAGAGAGAGAGAGAGAGGGATTGCCAATGTATTTTACTGCACTCTCTTAGCAGGACATACAGTATTGCCCTAAACTAACATTTATCTGCCTAGCAGCTCTTCCAAAAGATGACGGCTAATTGCATCCTGATGTATTGGTTTGCCTTCCTATGAAAACAGCCTAAGTTCTTGAACCTGAAACGGTGATAACGTATTTTCACTTTTCACATGTCATGGGTTTTATTTAGCTCCATTTTGCTCTCAGGAGAGGACAAAGTACCAGAGGGAATATATATCTACTTGAAAATTTTTCTCTTGGCTTTCTTAGTTAACCTACCGCTCATGATACAAAACCACTTCATGTGGGCGCCTGGGTGGCTCAGTTGGTTAAGCGACTGCCTTCGGCTCAGGTCATGATCCTGGAGTCCCTGGATCGAGTCCCGCATCGGGCTCCCTGCTCAGCAGGGAGTCTGCTTCTCCCTCTGACCCTCCCCCATCTCATGCTCTCTGTATCTCATTCTCTCTCTCAAATAAATAAATAAAATCTTTAAAAAAAAAAAAAACCACTTCATGTGATTTAAAATCATCCGAATGTGAAACTTCATAATCAAAAGGAGCACGGTGCTAAATATAAACTGGGAATGTACTTTATAATCAGAGAGAGATTCTATTTTGTTCTCTTAATAATAATAGACAGTGACATGTCTTTGCCACTAGGTGCCTTTTCTGTGTTGCTTCTGATGCCAAATAGCCACAGGGTTGGTTGTTGATTCTAATAGATGGCGACACATATTGTTAATTATGTTGACATGAATTCTCTCGACCCCGCTTCATGAGTAAGAGGTGGGATAGAGATGTTCCTTGTAGTTCTAGCTATGTGTGGAAGCTAAATATTACTTACGTTCACGGATGCCATGAAGGTCTAGTTGAGCGTAAGTTTGAGGAAAGTAAGTTGCTTATGGCTGAGTTACATGAGGGTCTATTTACATTTGTACTGCGACTGCTTAGTGTTTTGTGTGTTTCTAAGTGTATTTGTGGATGTACCTATGTATATATGTAAATAGGCGTGTATGCTTTGGGGTTAAAGACCTGAGGTTAACAAATCACTTCAATTGATAAAGATAATTGAGCAGTTAGTAAGCTTTTCTGTGTCGGTTGCAGTGTAAAGTAAGCTACATATGCTAGAATTTAGTCCTCAAAATAATCCCAACATTTCAACTATATTGATGTGGAAGCTAAGACTCCAAAGTAAGGCACCTTTCAAAATCATGGACTATTAGATATGTTAGGGTCAGAGATGACCCTACAGTCCAGGTTTTAAACAACCAACCAACCATTCTTCTTCAATTGTTCTCAAAAGAGCTTATAAGATTGACTGTGGTTAATTAAGCCAAGAAGATGTATCCCATTTCCCAAGCTGGATATTTTTGAATGTCATAATCTATGGTTTCAGATAGCAAAGCTTTGTTAACATGTGTCTGTACCAAATTATACCATGAATCTTTCTTTGGGAAAAATAGCTGTAAATGTAAACTATAATTTAAAGCTATGTTCTTTCTTATTTTGTAAAAGCTTAGTTGATATTTAGTTATGTGTGTCACCCATGTTTGCCTTTTATTTTTAAGACATATGGTCAAAGATTAAGAAATTGCACATGGGAGTCAAAAGTCAATAATAGC